GCTCATCAGGTTAACGAAGTACTACGACGAAAAAATCCGGCTTTGGTAAAAAGAAAAAGTGGGGTTAGTAACAATGCAAGGCTATGCTCCATAGTAAACAAATTTTTCAACTTACAAATGTTTCATTTCTTTGGATCGCGCGTAGGAATTCTGAAATGCTATTGGTTCGGACTATTTACCAAAATCTGGTCAAATGACTAAAAATCAATGTTACTTTTTTTTTTAAATTACCGTCTCGGTCATCGCTAGGAACTAAATATTGCCAGCAACATAGACAAATATTTTGTTAGCTACTTTTTAGAATTTAAGGAAACGCTACAACTCAAAATGTAAATATAGTGATTTTCCAAGCATAGCTTGGCCGAAATTAGGGGGCGCCCAGTGAGGATCGAACTCACTACTCAGTCGTAATTGTTCTAGCGAGCTAAGCTTGCTAACCATTGTAGAAAGGGCAACGGATATATGGAACGATTCCACAGAGCTTGAGAAGACAAATGCATTGTGGAATAGTTTAAATTCACTTTAGGAAAAAAAAAACAAAAAAGACATAGCAACAAATCTTTTGTTTCAGAACAGTGCTGCCCTAAAAGCGGGTCACGAATCAGTTTCATTGGCTGACAAGCGATGACATATTTGCACTTCCGGCGGAAAACAAACGTCGTTATTTTAAAAATATTATCAATGCTTTGTAGACATTTATACTTGTGAAAAGAGGTTTTACTTTATGATAAAAAATATTTTAATTAAATACTTTAAAAAATACACCCCCCTAAAAAAATGAATATCTTTAATTGATGGGTTAGACACTGTACAAATATTTTAATTAAATACTTTAAAAAATACAGTGTTAAAAAGTTGAATACTTTTAAGAGCAAAAAACACTGTACAAATATTTTAATTAAATATTTAAAAGGATATACATTTAAATCTTTAATTGAAATAAAACAATAGTTTTAAAATACTTTAAAAAATACAAAAACTAAATGAACTTTAATTGATTTAGAATGTATTTAATCAAAATTCGTTAAACTAAGAAAATGAATTTGCACACTTAAAATATTGCAGGATATACATTTATGTTATGAAATAAAACAATAGTTTTAAAAAAAATGTGCCTATGAACTTATTTTTTTTTAAAAATTTCTATTCAACTATGTTGTAGTGTAGAAATCTGCAATTTGACGAATCTGCAATAAGCAGATTCTCAAATCTTCTTCAGTTGAGCGTAGTCTTTCTCGCTTCTTATTTTTGATGCTATTTAGGGTTGAGAAGACTAATTCATATAAATAAGTAGAAAATTGCTATAAAACTGACAAATCCTTTTTAGCTAATGTGGAATATTCCTTCTGTACTGAAATCCAAAATGTATCAATGGATGCCGTCGAATGATTTACTTTGAGCCCTCGATCCCTAGAAATGCTGGCTAATTCTTCTTCTTTTTCATATAATTGAAGTTCAATATAAGAAGGAACATTTATGAAGTGATGTCATTTTTATTTAGACAAATTTCAGAGTAATATACTTTTTTAAAAAATGGAAAATTATGAAATCAAATGCCCACTGCTGCATATCGGAACTTCGACACGATTAATTCAATATAACTTTGTAAATATTTTGAATTAAACAAAGAATGTCGAATACAATTATATGAAAAAAAATAATATTCATTTAAATTAAGGAAAATTTTAAAAAGTTAAATTAAAATAGTTTTTAAAAATGAATATTAAAACAAACTATTTAAAATAACGTCGAAGAATAGTGAAAAAAAAAAAAAAAAAAAAAATTGGGAAAAGGTTCATAATTGGTCATTTATTCAAATACTAACACTGTACCATTACGACATACACACACACACACACATATATATATATATATATATATATATATATATATATATATATATATATATATATATATAAGAGATAGAGAAATGAGAAAAAAAAATGTCTCATATATACGTATATATTTCACCCCAAAATTATCTTGCAGGATAGTCAACATTAAGGGCTAGGATATTTGGTGTTGTCTATCCTGCAAGGTCGTACTTGTGGGGTGAAATAGCTATATATATATATGGGGCATTTTTGAATTTATCATATGTAATTTATTTATTTATATATGCTTTGTTATAATAAATGCGTGGAGCTCTCTTTAATCAGCTTTAATATTTTATGTTATTAGGATTAACTTGAATTATTTACCTATTTTTTTAACTATATATATATATATATATATATATATATATATATATATATATATATATATATATATATGTATATATATATATATTATAAATTAATTGATTTAAAATATGTTTTTTCGCTACACAGTTCTAACCATGTTTCAAAAATGGAAGTTAAATGCCCCGAATTTAATTTTGTAATTAAATTAAAAACATTAGTTTCATTTCATCCTCAAGCGAATTTTGGAGTAACTTTTAAAATTACTGGGTTTTAAAGACACAGCTAAAATCATAATTCATGTTTCCAAGGTTACAGATGAATCCAATTTACCAGACAAGGGTTGTCTCGGTGTCTATATTTTAATGTATCAGTTATTGCTACGTTTTGGTAGTGGGTAGGGATGTATTTTTCAATGAAATCTAACATCCGTTAAAAGCGTGTCGTTTGGATTTAAAAAAAAAAAAATATTGTTAACGACTAAAAATTCTTACGGCATTATTTTGTGAAAATAAAAATATCTATAAGAACACCGGATTATATATCTTACTGTTCTTTTTTTTATATATATATATATATATATATATATATATATATATATATATATATATATATATATATATATATATATATATGGCAATATTTTATTAGTACAATTATGAGGATCAAAAGCGACACATTAGTGGCACTGAGAATCACTGATATAAGCGAAACAAACAGTAAATATAAAAGAAAGAAAAACAAAGTAATAAAAGAAAAAAGAAAAACAATGGAGCAATAAAATAAATAAAGAATGAAAGAAAAAGGATTTTAAAAAATATACAAAACTCATATAGGCTACCTTAAAATAGCATATTAACAAACTAGTCACTCTCAACAATGCATAAATCGGATCCATGAAACTTGAAAAGACTACTGACGAATATAGGACTGCATCTCGATGCAACGGAGATGTGGTTCTACAGAAGGATGCTAAGGATATCATGGACCAAGCGATGAGGTCTTAGGGAGGTTACAAACAAGGAGAAGGCTTATACTTAACCTCAAAAAGAGGCAGCTGAAGTTTCTGGGACACTTAATGAGGAAGGAGGGTTTAGAGAATCTGATACTCACGGGTCGAATAGAGAGAAAGAGAGACAAAAGTAAGCAGCGCGTGACATACTTGACGAGCTTCAGCAGGTGGATGACAGAACGTGGTCGGGGGTGGGGGAGCAGAGGGAAGGAACTTGTTGAGAGCTCCATGTGAATGAGAAAAGCGGAGAGCCATGATCGACTACGTTCTGAAAGGACATGGTACATAAAAAGAAAGATACATTTATGAAAAGGGAAAAATAATCCAGAAACCAGGAGCACCATTAATATTATAATAATATTAAAATATTCCAAATTCCTAAACTTACTCAACCAAAACAGACAACCAGATCATTAAACCAAATTTATTTTCAAAATGAAGCATTAATATCACACACACTAATTCATAGAAATTTTTTAAAACAATAACCCAAAGATTGGCAGGGGTTCTTGGACAGTTGCGTACAGGACATATGAATTATTCACTTCATTCCGTAATTACAAATATAGCTGTAATACCGCAAATTTTCACGGAATCTTCATGTGCATTTTTTCACAAAAGATGAAATCATGGATTTTAAATAATGTCTAATGATGCCCAAAACAAATTTTTTATTTTATTCTCAAACAACAATAAAACGACAACAACAACAATATTAATAATTATTATAATAATAAAACTAGGACGTAATTATTAACCCTTTTCCCTCAATAAACAATTGTGTAACCTTTATTCTTGATTATTGCCTTTAATCATTTTTGATAGTCCAATACAATATCACTGATATATAGTTTCCTCCATTCTTCCTTGGCAATAGCTTCTAGTTCCTCCAAATTTAAAGGACTTCTTTCTCTTACTTTTTTCTTCAAATATGTGTTCAACGCTGCACACACACAGACACACACACAACATATATATATATATATTGTGTTTTACTAGATCAATTACGACTGAATAGTGAGTTCGAATAAACTGGGTGCCCCATAATAATCTTGTGAAAACAAATAATTGGCTTAGAAAATCATTATAATATACATATGTATAAATATGTCTAGTGAAAGAAAGTAAAAAAAAAAAATACGGATTCTCTTCAGAAACATACGTGGGAGGGTTGAAATATTACTCGCCCCAACCAAAAAAGCCCTCCACACCAACAAAATACGATATTTGTTCAGATTTTAGAAAATCGGCCGGGCTGAGAACTTTTCAGACCTATTTTTCCTGACTGGCCGTAGTTAAACTGGTCACCAGTCGGATCGCTGACGCATTCAGTGTACAAACTTTACTCAGCTACAAAGAAAAAAAAATGTTTAAAAAGAGACCATAACGACAAGATAAATATCGCCAAGAGTTCTAAACTGAGACTCATAATCGAAAGAGAATGTGCATCCAATTACCCATTCCACCAGTCAACCATTATATGTGTTTATATATAGACGTGTATTTAAGTGCTTAAATCTCCTCGTATTATTGCGTCTATCATTTTTTCCTCTATTTATGAAGAGTTCTACCATATCTTAATTTCTTTTTTATTTAACTTTTTTCATTTTTTTTTTTTTTGTTATTGCTCTTTTGTTTCCTTTTCTTCATTTCTTTTGGTGCATAAAGTAATTTTTTTTCATTGAATCATTTTGCGTTGCTTATTTTTCTTTAAAACTTTTTCGTCGCGACGTTTTTCTTGCTTTCTTTCTTTCCATTGTGTCTCTTTCTTAAAAAGATTTAATTTTTTTCCACGCTTGCCTATCCAGTAAACGCTTCCTGATTCTTTCTTTTGTTTCGTCTTTTTATCTTTCGATTTCTTCATTTCTTTTTCTATTTGACTCTTATTCTCTTTTGCTCTTTTTTTTCTTTTTGTGCATTCCAGTGTTTTCTTTCTTTCTTTCCTTCTTTCTTTCTTTCTTTCTTTCTTTATTTTCATTTAATTTTCCTCTTTTTCCTTTCTTTTCTTTTCTTTTCTTTTCTTTTAATTCATTCATTTTTATTTTTCATTCTTCCTTTAGTTTATTTTCTGTTTATTTTCATTCTTTTCTTACAGATTTTTTTCATTCATTTTTTAATTAATTCATTCATTCTTTCTTTTATTTTATATTCCTTCTTTCTTTCGTTTTTTTTCAGTTTTCACTTCATTTTTTATTCCACTTTTTCTTTCTTTCTTTCTTCAGTTTTTCCAGTTTAATTTCATTCTTTTCTTTCAGTTTTCTTTTTTTCTTTTTTTGTTATATATTTTCATTTGATTTTCTTTCTTTTCTTTCAACTTTCTGTCTCACCAGCAATCATTTCTTTCTTCCTTTATTTTTCATTCTTTTTTTGTTCTTCATTTCTTTTGTTTTCGTTAATTTCCTTTCAATTTATTTTCATTCTTTTCTTTCCGTTATATTTCTTTTTTCTTACTGTCATCATTCCTTTCTTTCTTTTTACTTCTTTATTTTGTTCTTCTTTCAGCACAACCTTTTTACCCACCTAACAACTCTTCGTACATTTGTATGCATATAAAATCTTTCATAGCTGCATAGCATAAATATTTCTTCATGGCAGCTTTTTTTTCTCTTTTTTCGTTGCTAAAATCGAGAAAAAAGAGGAGGGAGATAGAAGAAAGAGAGCGTAATAAGAGAGAGAGAGAGTAATAGGGGAGAGTAATAGGAGAGTAATAGGAGAGAGAGAGAGAGAAGAAAGAAAGAAAGAAATGAGGAAAGAAAGAGCGAGCGAAAGAGTAGTATCAGTAGTATAATCATCTATTGCTGAATGAATTTCCTGTGTAGAAACGAGGGCAACACTAATCAAACATCGGAAATTAAACATTCGCCGTCATTCATCTTCGTACTCAGCACGCGGCTGCAGATCCGTGGACCTTCACGCGCGCGCGCGCACTCACCGACACCCGCGTACGCGTTCGCGCACACGCACATATTTTTCCAGACAGACATTAAAGCTAATATTTCTGGCTATATACATATACATATACGAGTATGCATGCCTGTATCACTCTATGCACGAATGCTTACATTTGCATGATATAACAAGTAATATTAATCGCTGTCTATACATATTTTTTTTTGCTAATTTTCAACCTATACAAGTCTCATGAGCTACTCAAGATAGAGTGCTACTGATCGAAACGCTACTGATTGCTAGAAAGAGGAAGAGGTAATAAGTCTAAATTAAAGAAAATATATAGGAAAAGATAAAGCTTAGGCCTAAATTTCAATTACATTCACTTACGTGCTAATACACTTGAAAAAGGTATGAATCCTTCTCTCCTCGGCTGTGCGTAAATAGCCAGACAAACTAGGTCCTATAACCTTGATTAGCGGAGGAAAATTCTGAATTAAAAAAAAAATAAATAAGGGCCTACTGTATGGACCGAGGAAGACTGACACAACTGACACAATATTTCGTGGTGTTTGGTTGCCAGCTTGGAGAGTTAATATGAAACCCACTGAAAGGATTATATTGAAGAAGAATCAAAGATCAGGTTCTGCCCTCGACGATTGAAGCAAATCCTTGGAGCTTTAAATATTATATATATATATATATATATATATATATATATATATATATATGTGTGTGTGTGTGTGTGTGTGTGTGTGTGTGCGTGCAGATATGTAGAAAATAGAAAAATTACGTTAGGTAAATAAACCGGAATTCTTTAGTATTTTTTAAATTTTTTAAAAAACAGTGCCCCATACAGAAGTATATATATTAAATTATAAATTATTTTTTTTAAAAATATGATTCCTTCGCTACATAAGAGTTCTCATGTTTTAAAAACGAGAGCTGAAAACCTCAATATAATTATTAAAATTAAATTGAGTTAAAGTATCAAGCTCTTTTTCATCCTCAAGCGAAAATTTAGGAATAACCAATCTTGAAATGTACGTAACTTTATAAGCATGTTCATTCGCAAAATTAATTACTATGGAAACGGCTGGGGTGACCATTTTGGTAAGGGGTCTGTGAAATAATTTTTATCCACATATCAGTCACCTTCGGAAAGAGGTCAAGTTGAGGGTAGGGTCAGGGGGGTTACATCCATTTCAAAGCGAATGATGACATTCATGTGCGTACATATTTATTTATTTATTTATTTATAGCCATCATCCATAAACAGACTGTTTCGCCTTATCGTAGTTCATCAGTGTGGCTCGATATCCAATCACTTCAAGCGGGGACCAAAACCCGATCTATTTGGTACTAGTCGGAGATTCTAACGCCCGACAGAGAGAAGGGCGAATTTCTGGCGTATTTATTTTTTCATCAACACGCCAGTGACTTAGGGAACTCAATCCGGCTGGAGTGACTTGCATTATGAGCAGTTATAGTCACTGTTTACAAATTCATTATATTTTTAATCGAGTTTACCCCATTGTTGTAGAGTAGTTTTTCACAATGGAGGCTTGTATTTCAATAAGCCGCCCTAAATTAGGTTCGACGTACAAAACGTTAGGAACTTGAAATACGAGTTAATGTCGCAGCAATCTAGTTGTGACGGTTGGTACTTCAATGTCCGACATCGACTGACTCGCTCCACACCACTGAGCCCAACTGGCGACCGCTACTACTACTACTACTACTCATTATCTGTGGGAGTGTCTATTACAATAGAATAGGTATTATGGTATAACACCCATGTAGACAGTACAGCCATAAGACACAAGGTGTGGTTACTGGCTGTGGAAGAATTAGAAAGATAAACATTCCTAATGAACGGGAACAAAAGAGTAAACAGGGCAGTAGATAGCGATTGACATTGCACTTAAATTTTGAAGATCAAATTTGGCTTGAAAGCATGAAGACGGGAGGGAGTTCCACAAGCGAGTAGTGCGAGAAAAGAAACTATTAAATAGAATTTAAAGTTACTGCTAGCCAATTCAACTGTTAATTGATGAGACCTTGTTTCCAGTCCAGTAATCTGCTTAAATTCAAAAATAGTATGTACCATAGCGAAGAGCTCATCCGGACAATCAAAATGTCTGATGTTGCTGAATAGTCTTTGGATATTATCAAGGAGCTCAAGATAAATAGTAGGATCACCGGACTATAATTGGCGGCACTATTCTAAACATGAACGAATGGTAGATATGTAGGATATATTCTGGGAGAAGATATATATATATATATATATATATATATATATATATATATATATATATTTATTGTGTGTGTGTGTTTGTGTGTGTGTTTAGGTTTATAGGATGTATAACAGTAAACGAAACAAAAGTGAAGTTCTTGCGAGTGAGGCGGGTTTTTAACAACCCAGTAGGATGCAAATAAGACCTATCAAAGGGCGGAAGATCTCTCCACGAGTCAGCGGCCAGCTAACTAGAGGCGGTGTATCAATAAATCAACGGAGATTTTGTCAGTGACAAAGACAGAGTTATATATGGAGGCGTAAAAGAAATTGAAAAAGGAGTTGGATTGATACTAGATCAAGACATGAAAAAATGCGTTCAGGGATACTATCACCTATCTGAAAGATTTCTTGTAGTTAAACTGAAATGAAAGCCATTCAACATATTTAGTACAACTGTGTATGCACCGACAACATAAATCACGGAAGAAGAAATCGAAACATTCTCCTCTATGCTAGACAACGCCAAAGCTCAATGTAAATCACCAGAAATTATAATTATCATGTCAGACCTGAATACCTAAGTAGGATGGCGAAATAGCTGGGAAATTCCGACTAGGAACCCAAAACGAACTCAAAGTAAATGAGTTCAGTCGTGCACGGCGATACCGGTGATAGCATCTTGTAAATAGCTGTCTGTCATATTACAACTTCAGAACGGACTGCAGGCTTCTAGCAGGGTCGTGTCATCTGTAGGCGAAAGAAAGAAAATCAACGCGGTTACACGGAGTAAATTTTATTTCAGTTCACCCAGGAAGTCGAAATCATTAACCCTGATTTTAACAAGTGCGGCAGAGTCTGTATCACCGTGTACATCGATATGCTATACATGATAGTTTAGCCCGCAAAATAAGGGTCGCCTAGCGTAGACAGTATGAGCTCCAGCGAGATTCTGCCTGATTCCACGTGTCGCTTGTGAAAGAGGATTGTTTTAAAGTAGCTCCCCTGAACTGGACTATCATACCTGAGATGTCTCATGTGAGACGGACTTAATAATTGCTAAGGACTTGTAGAAAGCCACTCTAAGCGACGTGATAGCCAACGAAAACCACTGACTGTGTTGGTCTCGAGATTGACCTCGTGTCTGAGGGCAGTTTTATTAAATAACGATTTTTTGTAATTCTAGCGCGAACACGTGTAAGACATTTATTTCAATATAATCTGATTTTTCTGTTGAATAACTGTTTTTTATATTATAATTTACTGTCATTTACATGGTGTAACAGGTATTTGTGTGTGTAAGTATGTACATATGTATTTGTCTATGTATGCATGTATGTATATGTGTATTTGTGTATGTATGCATGTATGTATATGTGTATTTGTGTATGTATGCATGTATGTATATGTGTATTTGTGTATGTATGCATGTATGTATATGTGTATTTGTGTATGTTTGTATGTATTTACATGTTTATTTGAGCATGCATGTATGTATATGTGTATTTGTTCATGTATATATGTATATGTGTATTTGTGTATGTATGTTTGCATGTATATGTTTATTTGTGAAATATACATATAAAGCAAACATATGAAGGAGGCGCTGATGTTTAGTTATTTATTCAGATGTTCACTTTTTGGAAAGTATTTGTGGTCGAAGACCTTCACCACACGTCTTTGATATATATATATATATATATATATATATATATATATATATATATATATATATATATATATATATATATATATATATATATATATATATATATATATAAAAGAATGTATAAACATAAAAATGTCTTAAAAAAATTGTCGGACTTTGTCCATTACATAATATATATATATATATATCTATATCTATATATATATATATATATATATATATATATATATATATATATATATATATATATATATATATCAAATGTGTGGTGCAGTTCAATTTATATTACAATGAAACATTCATATAAAACATAGATTAGTAAAGTTAATGCTAAAGTTAATATATATATATATATATATATATATATATAACCAAAACAAATATAAAATTTGCCACTTCGATGATTGATGTTATTTTCAGCATTTGGGCTCTACACACAGATATATATGCACACGAATACACACACACACACACACACACATATATATATATATATATATATATATATATATATATATATATATATATATATATTGTATATATTGTACGCAGAATCTATATATCCATTAGATCAAATGTTATGTATATGTATAGTGAATATATATATATATATATTTGTGTGTGTAAATTTTATAACATTTAGAACGTTTATAGTAATAAGAAATTTATATATATATATATATGCTTGCATATATTTATAACATTAGTTTTCATATATATATATATATATATATATATATATATATATATATATAT